CCCATAATACTATAATGATGAAACAATGCAATATAAGTGTTTGTCGTTAGGTAATGAAATAAAATAAAACTAATCTCTCTAATAAATACCAACAATACCAACAATACAGCGGTGGCGATTTTGAGTTTTTACGGTATGCACCGGTTATACGTGGTAAATTTCCCGGAAGATAAACATCTTCTCCTGCACTGTGACTTTCCTTTTTCAAAGCATCGTAAGCGGTAACTTCTGTAATGAACATTGAGTTCTCTGATGCAAGAAGAAGGTTTCTGGCAATGAAATTCTTGAAGTCTAACTGAGGCATCGGCTTTCTGTTGTTAGAAGCAGCGACGAAGCAATGTAGTTTCCAAGCGTTTACTACAGCGCTATCTAAACACTGAGCCCATAATGGCCACCAATACGACAGTTAGCAAGTCAATTGTCATGTAAATCGACGCTGCCCATGTGTCGGTAGTAGCTGTTGATAACTTGAGGTTGCGGGACCCCAAACTTTTTGTTTTTCTCTGCTATAACGTTGCACATTTACTATGAGTTCAACGGAATGATACAGTATGTTGCAATGGATACTCACAATGGCTCAATAATTCCTTTACAACAAATGTACCGATTCCAAATTGCTTGTTGTATTTGCCAGTTGCACTGGAGTATGGCAGAAACTGGAAGATATATCCACTATCTACAGAAAGGGTTCATAGCTTACATTAAGACTGAAAAGTTTTCGGAAATTCTCATTTAAAATTCGCGCGCTGTATATTTTTCGTTATTTTAAGTTTATGTAGTTTGGCAGCACTGTCCTTAATTACTATGCCAAAAATGAGCTCGATCTGTCAGACAGTTCGTTTACGGCAGCTGTTGAAACCAGTTTACCTCAGTAGTGCGTTGCGAAATGTCTTCGACGGTCGTACGACCGTCCTGGAAGGCTTTGTACCACTCATAAACTTGAGTTTTCGATAAAACTGATTCCCCATAAGCCTTTTGTAGCATTCGCAACGATTCTGCACACGAAATTTCGTTCGAAACACAAAATTTGATGCAAACTCTTTGTTCAATATTTTTTTCCATTGTTTTTTTCGCAACGCCCTACTGAGGTGAACTGGTTTCAACAGCTGCCGTAAACGAACTGTCTGACAGATCGCGCTCATTTTTGGCATAGTAATTAAGGACAGTGCTGCCAAACTACATAAACTTAAAATATCGGAAAATATACAGCGCGCGAATTTTAAATGAGAGTTTCCGAAAGCTTTTCGGTCACAATGTAAAACGTATTGGTTTTACAAGTTGCAATGTGAATAGTTGCGACTCAGGTATTTCTACAAGACCTCCATAATCTTGTGCATTTGATTCGTATACAACTTCAATAGTACCTAAATACCATCTCACAATTAGACACGCGGAATTCAAAAAAGGGAAATAAATTTTAAAGTCGCATGTAATGTTTGTTGATATTTCATCATCGTCAATCATTTCATTTCAATCATTTCCGATTCACCAGCACGATTATCAGGTGGCAAACATTATTATTCAATAGGTAGCGAAGTGTCACTTGGCGCTAATAAGTCATCTTCATCTCCAATTATCAATAATATGCAATAGTTCCTGATTTCTTAGATATCTTAGGCAGGACTTTAAATTTTATTTACAGTAAAAAATTGACGACAGAACTTTTAGCATGAACAAATATAACCCTACATAAAACAATCAAATTCCGACTAACTCAACCAGCAATTAAATATCAAAAGAGACTTATTACTATTATGCATAGTAAAAAACACAAGTTTAAGTTAATTAGAAAAGTTTGGAAGTTTTTAGATTACTCTCATTTTATTTTATTACCTAACGACAAACATTTATGTAGGGTTGGCAACTTTGTGTCGTTATAAAGATGTCACAAAGAGTGCAGTGAATAGAATCAGTGTAAGTTGAGTTGAAATGCACGACAGTTGTGTGGGGTGTGAACTCTTGTATGAGTTGAAATGTGTTGGACATTGTCGAAGTTGAAAATTGTTAAAACATTAAGATTATACACTACAATAAATTATTAGTTATTAAAGAAAATAACAAAACAGGTCATATATTTCCATAAAAGTTTGATGGCAATTATTTGAATATTACAATTATTGTATCAATGTGGTATGAAATATAATTAAAGTTACAAATTGGCAAACATGGGCCCACAAATGAGGGCTCAACCGGGATTGGTTTATTAACTTTTATGTGGGCGACGTGTATATGGTCGAACAAAATATTAAAAAAAATAACAATAAAATGTTATATATATAATCGTACGCATAAATGGTTATTTCGAATGCGTTAATACCGGCAAAGTGTTGATGAAACCCTAACGAAGTAATTCCGAGAAATTAAAAGAAACTACAAGCAGCATAACATTGAAAGCAGAAAAAGAAACTACAAGCTACAAAAAAGCAGAACGTTGGTAGGAGAAAAATAAGCTACAAGTAGCGAATCAACAAAGAAGCAGAACCTTAGAAGCAGAAAAGAAACTACAAGCAGCGAAACAACAAACGAGCAGAACGTCGACAACAGAAAAAAACAACAACAGGCAAATAAGCAGTGATCAAGTACGACATCGAGGCGCCAGCATAAGTCTGATTTCATCACCTAGAAACACAGTACAAAGAGAAGCTGGGATACAAAAACAAATAAGTCAAATAATTTATGTTTATATTTTTTTTTTTTTGTATTCTGTACGTAATTTTTTTTCATATATCACACACTGTATTTATCGTATAATCTTTTATATCATATAGGTATTGTATTTATGATATATTTATGTAAGAAATGTTGTTTATTAGTGCAGTTATTATGCAAAAAAAGTTATAAAATATTATGAAATGCAAAAAATGTTATACAATGTTACAAAATTTAAGAAATGATATGTTCACTATCATTATAATACGTTCACTACCACGACCGACCGCACACGACTGATTCCTTCGAACCACTGTCGGCAACTGCTCCGTTTCTCTTCTGTGACACACAGCAACTGTCATGATTACAGTGATGCCACCCTGTTACATTTATATTAAGTTATATATAAAATACTAAATATTACACAAAATGGACGACAACACTCTGCAGGGTGCACTGAAGGATAAGCTTAAAGAATCAGGTTTGTCAGTCGTAGGTAGAAAGACGGAATTATCAAACAGGTTGCCAGAATATTTAGGTATCGCGAAAAATAGTGAAAGCATGGATTTAAATAATTTAGGTGATGGTAATGCAGACTGTAAGAGCAAAAATACTGATTGCAGTCGCAGCGCAGGTGCTGCACAGAGTAGAAGCTTTTTACACTTAGGGATATAGAGGATAGTCTGTCACCCTTCGATGGCGATGACAATACAAACGTATGTTAATGGATTCGTGGTTTTGAAGAAAATGCCACCTCAGTTGGTGGAACGATATACAGAAGTACATCTATGGCAAGCAACTCATGAAAGGCTCTGCCAAACTGTTTGTCCGAAGTCATCGAGGAGTGAAGGTCTGGGCCTCTTTAAAATTAGCTTTAAGGGAGGAATTTAGAAGGAAGGTTTGTGGTGCGGAGGTGCACCGTAGGCTGCGAAATCGCCATCATAAATACGGTGAGTCACTACGCGAATATCTTTACAGTCTATAAGAGCTTAGTGGCGATGTCAATCTAGATAACGAAAGTCTTATTACGTATTTTATTGAGGGAATCAAGTCTGAAAATGCTGATACCCATTTACGAGAAAATACGCGGCTCATAGGGTTTAGGTCGGAGTTTTCCCGAACAAAAGTCAACAGAGAAATATACTGAAAGCAGCATGAACAGATTAAATAAAGACAATAAAAAATGCTTCAAATGTGGTGATAGCGAGCACTTTGCCAAAGATTGTAGAAATAACAAAGTAAATTGTTTTAGGTGCGGTAAGCTAGGACATCGATCATTTGAATGTAAAAATGAGAAAAAATCGACGGCTGCAGGAGTCGTGAAGATAGAGATCTGGAATGGGAATCGTGTGTTAAACGGCGGTTTGATAAAATCGCATAGAATATTCAAGGAGGTGTGCATTCAAGGTAAGGTGCTTTTACTGCATTCGTAGACACAGGGTGTGACATAACGCAAATGGGAGTAAGCCATTTTAATGAAGTAGTAGGTCGTGAATATAGTAACCAGGTTACGCCACTATATGGAGTAGGTGGCGGACAAGTATTTACGAAGGAATACATGGCTTTAAACGCCGAAGTCGATGGCATTAGTTTTAGTATTTGCGTTCATATAGTTGAGGATGTCGATGCATTGTTTCCGATGGTGATAGGAAACAATATTTTAGAATAAGTAGATGTGAAATTAAGTGATAATAAGGCAACTTTCTTCAAAAAGTTGATCCCGAGTCGCAGTTGTAATCAGAGGAATAGTGATTCGTATTTGCTAAACAGACAGTCAAGTCCGGTAAACAATGAGGTTGTATGAAAAACAAACACGATTATTTTACACACACGCAAAATGTTTATTTATTTATTCAATTTAGGAAAAAATTAGACTAGAATAATTTATATCTCGCCAAGCCAAATAAACGTGCACACTCCCTGCCAGTCAAGTAAAGAAGAAGGAGAAAGAAAAAGCAAAAAAACGAAGCCAAAATTATCGCTGCCAGATGTTAGGATACCATCGTCAAAAACTACTAAATGTGTGCTGCCATATCGCCTTGTTGCTGCGCCAAATCTCAAACATCCTCCCCGGCTGGACGGGTACGTTCAGGATGCTCCACAAGCCTGCATATTTTTTGGATAGGTCGCATGCATTCGCCTGCTGAATGCTTGATCGTGACTACTCGTACCAAGCCATCTTCGCCTGGGTGAAGTTTAATCACCCTGCCAAGCCGCCAATGTGTTGCTGGTAGATTCTCGTGCCGGATAACCACGACATCGCCTATGTTGATGTTGTCGCCATTATGATGCCATTTGGAACATGGTTGCAAAGTTGAAAGATATTCATCATGCCATTGTCGCCAAAAATGCTGTTGCATTTGCCTTAATTGTCGCCAGTATGATAATTTGTTGCTAGGTACCTTGCCAATAGGTTCATCTGGTACTGCCAATAGAGATCTGCCAATTAGGAAATCTGCAGGTGATAGAGCCATCTTGTCGTCACAAGTGTCATGCAATGGTATAAGTGGACGTGAATTCAAGCAAGCCTCGATATGTACAAGTAGAGTATGTAGCTGATCATAGTAAATGGAATGGGTGCCAACAATGCGTAGTAAGTGCTTCTTCGCTGACTTAACGGCAGCTTCCCATAGACCGCCTTGATGAGGTGCGCCAGGTGGTAGAAAATGCTATTTTGTGCCTCGATTTGCCAATTGCTGTTGAGAATATTCATTATGCCATAGGCTAAGCCAGATCTTGCAAATGGTGGAGATGGGGTGACCCGAGCCTTTGGTAATGTCGCCATACGTTGTTTTAGCATTATGTGTTTATGCCGCCTGCAAATCGCGCATGAGTGTATGCATTGCTTAACCAAAATGCGTGCCTGTAGAATCCAATATTTGTGTCGAATCGTATGAAGCATAATTTGTATACCGCCATGAAGTGTGTCCTGATGCACCTGCCATATTAAAAGCCTGGCCAATGTGCTATCCTTCGGAAGAATGATTGGATGACGCTGTGGCTCTGCCACATTGTGTAGGCGTTGTGTGTAGGCGTCCGCCTACTCGCAATATATTGTCCGCTGTGGAGTTGATGAATGGACTTAACGCAATGAGCTTGCTGGATGTGGATATGGGCTGTGCCTTTTTCAGCTGCTTGATTTCCGCTGCAAAATATTTCGCTTGTTCTGCCTTGATGTGGTGATTTAAAGCAATGTCCATTTCGCCTGTACAGATGTGTGTATGCGAACGAAAACGATGATGTGCCTTTTTGCAACGCAATATGTATGCAGTAGTGCGCAATAGCTTGCCAAGATGACTGAACCGGTCCAACAGATCTATGACGACCAATTCGTCGCCAGCAGTGTAGTGTGTCTGTAATGCGGGTTGACCTATTACCTGCAATGCCTTTACCTTAACTGGTTTTAACTCGCCTTCCATTATTGCCAGCTCTGCTGGTGCACAGTGGTGCAGCTCATTGATTGAATAATCAGTTGAATTAGGACCGTGCCACCATAATGCGTAGTTTTGCAACACCAAAGGGGATATGCCACGACTGGCGCAATCAGCTGGGTTGAGTTTGGTAGGAATGTGATGCCAATGCCTGATATCTGTCATCGATTGAATGCAGCCAACGCGATTAGCAACGTACTGCTTTAATTGTGATGTGTTTTTGCGCAGCCAACATAGAGCAATATTTGAGTCGGAGTATAGAGTGTATGGTACGTACTCCAAATGCAAAGCCTGCCTTGTTTCGTGTAAAAGAGTAGCCAACAATTGCGCAGCACAAAGTTCCAATCGGGGTACTGTTACCGAATGTAATGGTGCCACTTTAGTTTTTGATGCGATAATGTGACTAGTGATATTGCCATTGTGGTTTGTTGCCAAATAGAGTGCTGCAGCCATTGCCTTGACACTAGCATCGCAGAAGCTGTGAAGTTGTATTTGATATCCGGGTTGCATGCCTATCCAACGCGGTATTCGCACTGCCTCCAGTTGGGACAGCTGCCTTCGGTATATGAGCCATTCTTGCAACAGTTCAAGTGGTAATGGGTCGTCCCATGCCAATTTTGCCTGCCCGAGTTTCTGTATGAAAAGTTTAGTCGTAATGATGACTGGTGCCA